TCTCCAGGAATCTTCTCAATTTCAATATTTTAGGATCACAATACCGCAGATGTATTGTGGAAATACACTATTTCAGACAAACCACTTTATTCAATTTGTCCCCTCTTCCATCACGTGGCTGAGATTCTTCTAAGGGATGTGGCACCACAGAGAGGCAGCCAAAATGAGTTGGAAAGGAACAGGGGCTGAGCTGAACCTCTGGAAAGCTGGATGGATTTGGAGGAAGTTTGGCATCTTGCTGTGTAGGGGTTCCCTGCAAAGGGAGAAGCACTTGAGGCACCTACAAGAGAACATAAATCCCCTCTATTATGAGCAGACATCCTTTGATTTAACTTCACCAGGACTAGCTGGACAAAAGGAGCAAAGTCACTCCTGGTGCTCAGTTCTCAATATTTGGTGGGATTTAAGTGCACTCAGGGTCTTATCCTGGGTCATTTGGCAAGTTGCGCCCTCCCTGCTCAGCACTAACAAATGAAGTTATTTTCCCTGTGTCGGGGACCCTGGAAGGGTGTCCCTGGAGGAAGCTCTCAAAAGGCCTCCCCAACATTAACAGCAAAACAAAGCTCCTACAAAGCTCAGGAATAACAGAATCCAGGGAGAAGAAAGCAGGTGTAGGAGTCTCCACATGCTGCTCCTGATGTGTCAAGGACTTTTGACACATTGAGAAGGTGGTGACCTTGAAAAGTCAGTCCTGGTGCTGTGCAGTAGGGTCATGCAGAGCTGAAACCTTCTCTTTTTCTGAAAAAAGCTCTGAGCAGGCTTTTCCTGCATATTTCTCCCTCCTAACTGGCTGGGGTGTCCATTCCAAGAGGGAGGGTGGATGTAATTTATTGAGACGGTGGCCAGGCACTTATTTACAACGGCTCTGCTGAAGGAGCAGATAGATTGAGATAAGGGAAATGAAGAGCTCTCTAAGTGTGTTGGCAAAGAAAAATGCTCACTGGAGGTTGAATTAAACACTCCAGGGCATGCAAGGCTTAAAGATAAACTAAGAACTTTGGCTGTGGACACATAGAGCAGTGTTTTCATGGCTCCTCCTGTGCTAATGGGAAGAAAAACCTGACTGGTTTGAAAGGAACAACTCTTTCACCCTTTCCCTTGGTTCAGACTTGAGCAGCGCCTGTTCTGGCTGTGTGTTTGTAAAATTGAGAGCTTCAGGAATTCTCCAGTGGAAAAGGAGAGGCTGGGGTCAATGCATTCAGGAAGTGTTGGTGCCTAGGGAATTTGAAGGTGATGCCTGGTTAGAGCACAGCAGATGACAGCTGGCCCATTTCTCGACATGGCATTTTCAAAATTACCCACACGAAGGAGATTGTTTAGGAGGAGAACTCAGGAGAATGGAAAAAATGCAAATGCCAGGTTTGATCATTGGGAACAGTGAGAAAAAATGAATGATGGGAGCTACGAGAGAGTTGAGCAACACTGAAATGAGATTCTGATCTTTATAGACTTTCCCAATCTTTTCTAAAGGTTTGGTTGTTGGGTTGTTTTTGGGTTTTTCTGGGTGGAGGTGAAGGCTGGAAGGTTCATAAGGTTCCCACCTGATGATCAATAATAATGACAGGGAGCTGAAAGAACTGGGTTCTCCTAAAGATAAATTGACTTTAGAGAGGGAGAAAGTGTTTACACCTGGAAGCAAAGTAGAAACCAAAAGAGGGTGCTTGGGAAGATGTTATCACACTCCAGAGGCTGTGAGCGAGCCAGGAATAGGAGGAGGAGGAGGAGAGTGCTCAGCTCTGCTTAACAGCAGAGCCACTGCTCATGGAGAGATGTTTTGAGATTCCACCCTGCACCTTCTGCTGGAAGTCAAGTGACTCCACACTGCCCCATGAAATGCCAAATTTGCACTGCAGTGTCTCTGGGCCTGATGACACCTTGGGAACAAAGCTCCTTCTGGAGATTGTCTTCTGCAGGTTAAACCTTCCAGACTGTAACACAGATCAAAGAGAGGTGTGACTGTTTCCCTGCTGTACTGAGCAGGGAGCAATGTGAAAAAGCATTTGAAGGTATTTCTATGCTTCTTTATTATTTTTTTGTTATCATAGATGATCTTCCCAGCAATGGAAACAAAATGTTGAGGCCACTAACCTATAAGCTCCTCTTCCTATGACTGGTATTTTCATTCTAACACTGTAGTAACCACCAAAACAAAACCCCAGAGATAAGCTTTAGTTTGGCTTTTCATATGATTAAAGTTTATGAGGTTGGAATCCTAAATTTCATCAGGGTCCTACTGAAATATTCAAAATATTCAAAATGAATATTTTGAAATACTCAAAAAAGTCCTTCTGGCTTCACAACATGGTGGATGGAGCCTGCAACAGGTTGATGGTAACTCAGTGGAGGTTTTATCTTTGCTGGGAGCTGAGTAAGAGACTTTGCAAAGCTTTGGGGAGGATGTTGGTGACTGCAGTTGATGTGGTAACAAACTCTACAGATGTTCCCACCAAAGATAACTTCAGACACTGGAAAACATCCACATTTTGGACTCTCTGTAGTCAATGCCTGGAGGAGGAGTAGGAACAACTAAACTAATGTTTCTCCCTGGAGATGTCAATGGAGGCATCTCTCCAGATGATTTACAGAGATAGGGCAACCTACCTCCTAATCCTGAAGCTGTAAACATCTCCTAAATCCCAGGCTTGGAGGGGTTCAATGGATTAAAATTTGTGTGTGTGGTACCCTAAAACTCCATTCCCAACAAGGTGACAGAGGCAACGCACTCAACAAGTCCTCTGAAGCCTGAAAGAGTGTTTGAGAAGGTGTCTTTAGCCCAGAAATTGTGGGGCAGTGTTTTGTATGATATTTAACAGTGAAACAAAAATGAGCCCTTGGCATGGGCTCCATTTCATAGATGGATTTCTGCCAGTTGTATACCCTGAATTAATCTAAAGCTCAAAAAACCCCATATCTGAGATAAGGAAAATGAGTTTAATGGGTCCTTTCCTCAGTTTTCTCCTGTGGGTTCCTGCAGGCATCTGCAGGAACTTGTCTCCTTCCTCCAGCTGAGCTCTCTGCATGGCCTTCAACACGGGGCTGAACTTCCCTGGGTGGAACTGTTTCAAGGAACTTATCCATCCTCACCGTCAGGGATCACGGCATGATTCACCTGGAGACTTCCACGGTGCAGACATGCCCCACTCCACCAGTCACCCAGGGGTTTGAGAGTCTCGCCAGCGCAGCCGGTGGGGGCAAGGCCGTGATTCACCCCAGCCCAAAGCAAACACCTCAGCTGGGCAGGGGAATCGTGGCATGGAAATGTCTGCTTCTCTCCACTGGCTGATTGCAAAAGCAGCCTGGGGTGAGCAGATCAGGTGGAGACACTCCTGACACAAGCATTGCAATCTGGGTGGCAGGGACACAATTTCAGGTCAGGGTGAGCTGCCTTCCTCCCTTTTAATGGAATGGAAAAGAGGGGCACCTCTGGAGAGCAGTTCATGCCATTTGTCTCAGCTTCCCTCCCTGTGGTAGGATGAATTGTCCTCTAATGTTGAGATTAATCATGTCCCAGAAGTTCAGCAGTTTGAAAGAGGCATCTAAATCTGGGAAATCAGCTGGAAGTCCTTTGCTTTTCCACACATCTTCCATCTTGTCCATCTAAAGTTCATTTACTGGAGGGCACGTTCTTGGCTGAATTGATTATCCTGGTTCGAAACTCCTGCCTGGAGCCATTTGGGATCCAGAAATGAATGGTCTGATGTCCCATGTGCCTGGAAAGGGTGGATTTGTAAAGCTTAGTCTGCAGTTAGCAAAGCCCTTGAGATGTGGCTCCTGACCATGTGAACCTCCACCTCCTCCTCAGTTCTGTCCCCCTTGGCCAGGTCCCCTCAAGAAGAGGAGTTACTTGGCTGCAAGGACCTTTCTCCTTAAAACAAAGACAGTCACCTTAAAATAATTTTTATCCCAGCCTAGAGAACTGTTAAAATCAAGCCAATTTTCATTTGGACTTGAGCAACGATAGAATTATTGTGTTGTTTTTAAGTCAGAGCAAAAGAGAATGAAGGCTTTATTTCATGACAGCCCTGTTGATAATTCAAACACACCAGGCTGTTCCCAAATGAAAACCACACAGCAAAAAATGAACGTAAACAGAAATACACACTGCCCAGGCAGGTTCCTCTTTGTCATTAATTCAGGGCAGAAAAGACAATCAAGAGATCTAATTAGAAGAAAAGGAAATTATACTCTAAAAATCCCTTCAGTTTTAGTAATCAAGGTTATTATTAGAAGCACCAGTAAAAAACACTTTAAAAATCTATCTAATTAGCTGCATATCTGCTGATCTCCCTGCAGAGCTGACTTGTTTGTCTGCAAGCCTTCACCAGCATAAAGGTTCACGGACACTCCTTTCAAGACTTCCACTGGGCTGAGTGCAGAGCTTGCACTTGGGATTAATTGGGATTGGTTTTTGGTTGTTGGTTTGGTTTGGCTCTAATTTCACTCCCCTCACTTTAACCAAAGCCCCACAGAATGATGCTGTTCCCCTTCCCAAATTCTTGGTGTTGCCTTTCCAAAGACTCGGAGCTTGGTGGCCTCTGCTGCTGAAGCAATTCCTTTGGGTGGCTCTGAAAGTGCTTCTGACTGCGTTTCACCAGCTGCCAAAATTTCCTATAAAACATTGTCTAGAGGTGTGCTTGTGTCTCAAAAAAAAAAAAGGAAAGAGGGAAGGAGGGAAGGAGGGAGGGAAGGAAGGAGGGAAGGAAGGAAGGAAGGAAGGAAGAAAGGAGACTCGAGGAGAGGAGACTCGAGGAGAGGAGAGGAGAGGAGAGGAGAGGAGAGGAGAGGAAGATATTAAAAGTAGAGGTTTTTTGCCTTGCTGGGACTGTAGGGAACTTCAGAAGATCTTGTTTTGGGGAAGGATGACAATGACAATTATATTTTCTGGTGAGGGGGAATGCAGAAGAGTTGAAGATGGTGATTTTCTGTCCCCATTCTTCTGAACCAAGTACAAAGGTGAAATCCAGCCTGACAGTATCTCTTTTTCCTTTTCTCTTGCACAGGTCCTTGGCAATTGGTCACCAGTATTCCTCCCTGGGGACTCAGCCCATCCTCTGCGGGAGCATCCCAGGCCTGGTGCCCAAGCAGCTGCGCTTCTGTCGGAACTACTTGGAGATCATGCCCAGCGTGGCAGAAGGTGTAAAGATTGGGATCCAGGAATGCCAACACCAGTTTCGAGGGAGGAGGTGGAACTGCACGACTGTCAATGACAGCTTAGCCATCTTTGGGCCCGTGCTGGATAAAGGTGAGTGAGGAGCTCTGGGTTTGGGAAGATGAATGTCTGTGTTGGAGTGGCAGCAGAGATCTTGAGAAACCTCCTGTCAACTTCTGAACAAAGGTCCTGTAAATTGTCCTGCAAGAGACAGGACTCGAGCTGCATGAAGGGGTGTGGTTATCTCAGTTCCAGATGGGAGCAGGAGGTTGGACTAGAGACCTCCCCAAATCCCTTTCAGCATGAATTATCCCATGATCCTACACCACTGGGAAGGAACTCAGAGGATTATTTTGTTTGCAGTGGTCAAGCTGGACCTGGCTCCTTTTCTGACCCCAACTGTAATTTTAGATCTCTAGATGATGGCAGAGGGGAAATGATGAACTATTGGAGAGTGTTCTTAGGAACTGGATGTATCAGAGAACATCAGGTTTTTTACTATTATAAAATACAATGACAATCAAAGGCCCGGGGAAATCACCATCAATTAATGATTCTGCTTTCCTTGGTTGTGAACATAGCAAATTAGGACAGAGTTCAAATTCAAGCAACTATTTCTGCACCCCTTGACAAAAGTGCGGAACTCTTAGAAATGTTTTGCCCTAGGTTGTCAAACCTTTGATTTGAATCAAATCTGAGATTTGAGCCCTAAGCTAAGCCTGAGTATCTGGTCTTTTCCTTTATGACTAGATAGGAGCTTGTGAGAACTCCTTTATCCTTCTCTGCCTGTATGTGTGTCTTTTAAAATCCAGCCTGGTCCTGCTGGTCTCACTAAGTCTGGGATGAGTTTTTCCTATCCTTCCTTCCTGCCTGCCTGCCTGCCTTCCTGCCTGCCTGCCTGCCTTCCTGCCTGCCTTCCTGCCTGCCTTCCTGCCTGCCTTCCTGCCTGCCTTCCTGCCTGCCTTCCTGCCTGCCTTCCTGCCTTCCTGCCTGCCTGCCTGCCTGCCTGCCTGCCTGCCTGCCTGCCTTCTTTCTTTTCAGGGAATCTGGTGTACATAATTGATCTATACTCACCTTGGGATGTGCTCTGCAGTGCTTCCCATGTTTTTTTTTTTTTAGTTTTCCCCCTGCTGCATTACTCAGAACAGATTTGGGCAGTTTCTTCCACTAGACCAGGTTGCTCCAAGCCCTGTCCAACCTGGCCTTGAGGACTTCCAGGGATGGGGAGCCCATGGCAATGTGTTCCCAGACAGTCTGGGGTTAGACACCCCACATCTCCTATAGCAATTATCCTTGTGGATAAACTGCCCCTCACCTCCCTGCTGACTGCAGGAACCCCGATCCCACAAAATTCTCTTATCTCTGGCACAAAGGGTCTGTCCCTGCTCCAGACTGGAGGCTTTCGGTAGCCGGGCTCAGGGAGGGAGAGGAGACTGGGACGATTTCATAACTGAAGAATGTTGTTCCTTGAGGGAGAATCAAACCACCCTTCAGTTTTGCTTCACCTACAGCAGAAGGGGGGTAGAAAAAAAAACAGCTCAGTCGCATTCTTGTGCGGCAGATCCCCCAGGGTAGGAACATACTTGAGCTCCTACCCAGAAAGAGAGAAGGGGAAAAGGAGAGAGAGAAAGCAAGAAAACAAAAATCTGTTTTGCAGCTTGGATTTTAAGTCACCCGAGATCTGAGTGCTGCTCTCGTGTGAGTCAGTGGGGACCCCATCCTCCCTCAGCACAAACCAGAGCAGCTCCTAAAGCATCTCCCCTTGGCCTCACAGACTATCTGCACTCCTTGCATTGAAAAGGATTTTAATGCCTTCAAGAAATCCTTTCCAGGCCCAAATCTCGCTGAGGCCGCCTCGTTCTCTGGGCTGCCCTTACTGCTGTGGTACCTCATTGCTCATTCAGGGCTAGGCTTGAGCTGTGATTCAGCAGTGCCAAACTGTCACCAGACTCTGCTCCTGTTAAGAGCCATGTTCTGATATCTCATCTAAAACCAGACTCTTTTTCCCCATCAGCCTTTTTATGGAAAAAAGATCCCACGTGTTTTAGCTAAGACGGTATTTATGTATCATTTTTCTTTTAGCTGGGCCTAATCTCCAGCAGTCCCTTGCAACCCTAACAATTCTGGGATTTTGTAATGAATCACACACTAAACAGGAGTGGCATGATGAGCTCGGCTGCCAGGCACTGGTGATGTCCAGGGAATCCTGACCTGCTGCTATTGAAGGCAACACTTGACAGGCTTGACCCTAAATCCGTCTTGCTCTTTGTGTGTCACCCAGGGCAGAGGAAGAGCAGAAATCCCACATCCCACCCTATTTGACTACTCTGGTTTGCACGTCCTGGGCTGTGAATAAACCTTCCCTGTCCATTTATCCAGAGAGGTGTGGACTTTCTATCCCTGGGAGTGTCCAAGGCCAGGTTGGATGGGCTTGGAGCAACCTGGGAAAGTGGAAGGTGTCCCTGACCGTGGAATGTGTCCCTGCCCATGGCAGGGGTGTAGTGAGATGAGCTTTAGGGTCAGGGCTGTGGAACAGCGTTTTTTCTCCTCTCTGTGGTCTCAGGAATGTATGGGCAGGTGTGCAGCTTCATGGAGAAACATTCAGGAGGGTGCCACTTCTGTGTCTTCCTTGGAAATCCCCGGGAAATGGGAGTTTTGGTCAGTTTGGACTACTTGGAATGCAAAAAACAGGATTCCTATATGGGGAAAGAATTGAGTCTGATCTCTTTCTCTCCACCTAAATTTAATCTGTTTATCATTTCTAATATAAAGACACTGTAACTCACCTCTAGTCTCCCAAAAGCGCAAATCTCAACTGCTGGACAGTAGAAAGAACCTCTCACTTTAATTTTTCCAACAGTAATATCTAAAGGAAAAATACTGTTATTTGTTTCTCCACCTGTATTTTATGAAGTAGAGAAAAACATGGCAATGGCCACATGACCTGAAATGACCACCTGAGCCACAGCTCATGCTCAGCCACTTGCCTGAGAGGCCTGGCAGTTTTTAATGCAGTTTATTTTAATGCAATTGTTCCATCTTTCAGTTTTCAGTTCAGAAGGGAAGATTTTTGCGTTGCCTCTAAAAATATGCAGGATAAAACTTTGGAGGCTGTAGGAGAGGGACACCCCATCACTGACAGCAGAAAGTGAACAGTGCAACCTGACAGGCGTTTTCCATCTCCAGCTGGAGTGCCATGCATTGTGAATTGTGCCCTTTGCCTTTATTTTAGCTTTTGTGGACTGAAGAGGTTGTTCATGCTTAAGTTGTGAGTTTAGAGTCTCCCGATGCCGGGTGAGCTCTCTGAAACTCCTCTGGGCAGAAATATGAACCAGTCTCCGAGAAGGAATACAATAAAAGCTTATCATGGCCCTGTCGCTTTAAAGGACCTCAGCACATAATTAAGTCAAAATAAAAGTTTCCTCTCTCTCCTCCCCCCCCATTCAATAAAAGTAAATTACCTTCAACTATTTAAGCCCGCTGTTCGTTTAAATTTAAAAAGGGAGCCCTTGTCTATCTATTTCTTTCACTCACTCCCACCTCCTTCTGCTAAAGACTGGCCGGGGCTTTAAACCTGCCAGCTGGGCTGAGAAATGGTTAATAGTTATTGTGGAGGAGCAGCTTTTAATGAACTATTGAAGAATGATACATTGATGGAGTAATGGGAGTTTAAGTCTCTCTGTAATGAAACAGGTTCTCAGCGCCGACCCATTGTGGTGTAAATACAGCACGTCTCTCCCACTGTTTGGTCAGGACTAAATAGCAGAGGCCAGAGGGGGGTCTGCTTATGGGGTCTCCGCTTTAGTTAATCAATCTGATTGGATTAGGGTCACTGCGATCCCTAATAATGTCAAAGGTTACGCCAAACTGGATTAAATGCTTTGTTGGAGAGGGCTCGGATTCTTTCAGCTTCGGCCGGCAGGGCTTGTTTATTAGACTTTAACACTCGTGTGCAGCCTTGGGAAGCCGCTCCAGCCCTTTTTTTGTACCTCGGGCGTGTGAGGGGGTGGGAAGGAGCCGGGGCAGGGGCGTCCCGTGGCTCTGCACCCATCGGATGTGCCCTGCCAGGACATACATCAAATTCCCCACCGGACAAATGAGAGCCTCATGGGTGACCAAGGCCTGGGAGGCAGGAATTCATTCCGGAAATAACGGCTGGCCGCCGACCCCGCTGCAAGGCAAATGTCGAGAGTCACAACAGAGGTGGAGTGACCCACTGCTCGTGTCCCTCAGGGTTAATCCTGTCTGTGTCCAGCTAAGCCATGTCCTTCTGGTGCAGCTCCCATTTGGGCAGCCACCAGGCTGAGCGCGGGGTGAAATATGGAGCATTTAAGACCACAGGATTGTGTTGTTATTAAGCTGGGGAGGTGTTTTGCCTTCCAGCACTTGCATCTCAAATCAAGGTGGGATGGGATGGGATGGGATCTGCCTGTCATCTTACCCAGACTGACAACAAAGCCTAAAAATTTCCCTTTGTCTTCCCTCACCACGTTCCTGCAGATGACACTGTTCTAAAGACATGGCAGAGTGTCCTGCAGGAAGTGACACCAAATCATCCCTTCGAAGGTCCCTTGGCAGTGGAAAGGACAGCACTAACAGTGTGTTACCACAGAGATCTGAACTCCTGGGATCTCCAGTGCCTCACTCCTTCCCACAGCAGAGCACACAATGCATGTTCACGGCCTGACGTGACTGTCATTATCCAAGCAGGCTTCTTGCATGATCCAGACTGGAGAATTTCCCCTCAAGACTTCTGGAATGAAACCAAAATCTGAATTTGACTGCAATGTCTCTTCCCAAAGGACATTTTTGCCTTGACATATCACCAAGGGATAGACAGCCTCCTCTTCACAAATCTTTACAAATCTCCTCCTCTGCTCTGGTGTTGACAGCTGGCACCTCTATTTTCTCTTCTATCACTGACCATTTTCTTTGCTGCTTAGACTTCCTAAAAAGTTAAAACTGAGTCCTGCAGAAGAGCAGTGGGTCAGCAAAACTTTGGGTCCTTCATGCCAGACAGCGAGACAGGTCGAGGTAGTTCCAGTTGTTGCTGGGGTCCTCCAGGGCATGATTCATCTGATGTATTGCAGACA